GTCTAGTCAACCTAATTATCCTTTTCTAGCCAATCTGGGAGTCTCACTTCCCACAGCCTAACTCTTGTGACTTTTTCTGTGAAACCCCGGGGGTCTCCTCCTTTGAGCCAAGCCTGTGTTGATGAATTGTTTCTCCAGCAACTCACAAACTCCAGCGCACCACTCGTGCCCAGCTCGCTCCAGCCCTTTTTCTCTCAGTTGGCCTCGCGCTCCAGCCTCAGCTCTTCTCAAATGGGCTCGTTCCGGCATGTTTCAGCCGTGTGCAAGTCCACAGGTTCCAAGGTTCCTTGAGATATTCTTAAAGAATTGTCTTTGCAGGATATGAACTAATACATTGCAATATAACTATAATATAATATATAGTTGTATATGTACTACATTATATAGTTATATATTATGTAGATTATATGTAGTTATTGATCGCATCCTTGAATGGTCCTGGACCATGCGTGCTGGATGAAGAAGGAAAGCCAATTGGGCGGACGTGTTGAGGTTCGGAGAAAAAGAAGCTACTCTACTCTGTCATGTGTTCCTCAATCCCAACAACTAGATGACTATCTAATCAATCCTGTGCCAATACCGACTACTGAGCTGTTGATAGAGCAAACCACACCCCAGCTCGGCATACAGAAAAGATTCTTTGTTCATCTCGTGCAGTCTCTACTTCTCTCCACCATCCGTCCTACCTTCTTATGAACCCTGAACTGCAGTTTCTCCAAGGCACCTATCCGGAAACATCTCCTGGCCGGTACCAACGGAACTGCATAACGTAAGTGCCTGATGCACTGCCAACCTATGTCCATCCTCTTTCTGCGGTGGACTGGAAATCACATCCTGACTCAATGGTAAAAAAACGTAACAACAACGACGACAACAACTTCACATATTTGTATCTTCACATTAACATTCACAACGACGACGACGACGACGACAATAGCAACAACAAACAACGCATCAGAACATACTATACAGTAGGTGGTATTAGAATACGCAATACATCAAAGGACTATAGTTACAGGCGTTTGATAGAAGAACCCCCAGCCCCACCAGTTTGTTGCAAGATGTTGCAAGATATACAGTATACTATTATATCAATCAAGGTCTCTCCAAGGAGTGGAATCGTCCAATCCTGCGGTGCTTCTTCATCGCATTGCGTCTCCCCACGTGCCTTCTGGACTTGCTTCCGCGACTCCTCGACCTCTTGGTAGCTCTCGCCTCGGGTACGAGCCACCCGCGCGAGCCAGGCGGCGCAAAAAGCGTGGCTCTTCAGAGCTGAGGGCCGAACACCGGTCTTTCGGATCCCCCTTCTGCGGTATGCTGAACATTCTGCCGGGCAAAGTTCAAATCAACCAAGAGAAATGAATGGAAGAGGTTCTGTATGGTTCTGTTGTCAAATTCTGGCATACCCATTACAACATCCGCACGAGGCTGACTGACTCATCTGGACGGGTGGACAGGCGCCCGTCCTCCGGCATAGCTCGGTTGGAGGCTCGGCGTCCCGGCGCTCACTGGCCTTTACCAGCCGGTCGAAGCGAATGTGTGTGCGGTTCCTGTCAGGGTCTTCATTGGTGGTCACCACTGTTGTTGTTCGATGTTAACATGCACTTAACGATTGACTTGAAAAAGTGGGAAAGTACATAATCATGTGAAAAAAGTGGAGACACTTCAACAACCCTATAATTGGGGTTCACTGGTCTCTAGCAATGACTGGACACAAACCAAACAAAACAGGAAGATAGGAAATCCAAGGGATTTCCTAGCAAAGAAACGCCGTGTTTCAAGGTTGCTTGTCCGGTTTTCTTTGGATGAACTGATGAAGCTGCTTCACTCAGCAGGAAGTGCTGCTTCACTTCCGCGGTGTTGAAAGTGCGCTGCTCCTGAAGTCGGAGTTGTCCGCTTCAATTGTCACCTGGACAACGCCCAGGAGCACCCGGTGCCATTTTTCCTCCCTTGGGCACTATATTTATCCAATATTATCCAATATTATATTACAGATTATTACCGTAATTTACAGTATATAATTTGAGTTTTACCTTGCCCATCCTCCCCAAGTAGCAAGAAGCCAAATGCAACTCGTTTTACTCGGCAAGTGCATGCAAAACAGTATTTCTTACCTTTAGCCGCTCTAGGCATCACCCTCACACTTGTTGGATCGGATTTGCGATCCAACCAAGCAACCAAAGAACCGAATATCGCTCTGCAAGGGTCTGTGCCCATAATATATGGTATAACATGGTATAACGGTATAGCATGGTCTAGCAGTATAGCATCACACTACTGATTCGATGATCCCCGCAAGCATCGCTTCATCTCTTCCCAAAGACGGCACCATGATGTGGTCGAAGATGTCAATGCGACCAGCCTGGCCAGCCATGTTCAACCACTGGGGGATCCCAATTTCTGGCTCAGAGCCGACTCAGTGCCGGTCTTTTGGGAGACCTACCGTTTCGCAAGCCTAAATCAATCAAACTCGACGAAATCCTCAGCCTTTACTCTAGATCCCTAGAAATTCGGATCTTGCGCACCCTTCACACCCCCACATCATCTCCTACTTTTCTGGCCTGTGCTCACACTGACATCACATGACTTTATCACGTTTTCGTTCGTTTCCCTGGCCTCCTTCTTGCTCTGGATGAACTGCTCATCTTCTCGAACCTCCCAGTCCTCCTGGCACGCTGGTTGCACAACTGCCGCACACGGGTCACCTTTCGAGCCCTTCCAAGTGCATCTCCCAGTCCTCTGCAGGAGTTTCTCTTCCATCCACTGTCCACTGATCCAATCCATATCAATCGATTCATGCGGCTATCATATGGCTTTACGCATGTCCTCAGGCATGGCCACAACACCCTCGATGCCATAGCGCGGGACGTTCACCTGACCACGAGGTGAACCCTTCGATCTTAAATGGAACATCCTGAACCCAATGGTCTTGATGGAAATTCTGGTGCCACAATGTCCGCCAAGTGTTCCAACGCTTTCGCGCACGCGAACAGAAACCGTCTGGGCCCCTCGATCCTCGACGGGCCAAACGCCACGACTGGCCGTGGCGAACGCCACGACTGGTGAAACACCCTGTGTCGAGTGGGACATTTTGGGACGCCCACAGAGCCTGTGTCGAGTGGGAAAGAAGAATCATGTCCCACGAAAGACTGGCAAAGGTCTGCTCCGAGATACTGCAAACTGCTTGAGCTGTGAAGTGTGATGTCAGATGTCCACCCAGCCACCCCTCCCGAAGCCCAAAACGACACCGAAGCGATGGGTAAGGCCTGCATGCCGGAGCGACGGATGCGTGTGACCACCGCTTCCGCCGACTGCTGCCCCTGGCGTGATCGGCCCATCGCCCGACCGGTTTTGGAGACGGAACACTGCGCAACTTGACATGACCATACATGTCTTCAGTACCTGAGAAACATGGTTTGGAGTTGAGTTTGGTTTGATGGTATGGTTTGAAGTCTCCAGTTTGGATCCGACCGTACCCTCGTTGAATCTGGGTACCTCTTCTGAGGTCTCAACGCCTTTAGACAATTTGCCGAAAAGCATGGTGTAAAACGATTTTCACCCAGCTGTTCAGGAAGGGCATTCTCGTGATCCAGGCGTGCTCTGCATGTTGAAATGCGATGATCTTCCAGTCCATATATATATATATATAACTAGTTTAAACCAAGATTCTCTATATATATATACTATACATATACCATATATATAATATACAATAATCCATACTGTAGTGCATCTTGCCTGACTGCCCGACAGCCCGACCAGCCTTCTTGTTGAAGAACCTGGGGGCAAAACAGAAAAAGCACCGATCTGTGATGTGTTGCACTTATAACCCAACATATAATCAACATATCCTTCTTCTCAGTGGACTTGTAGCAGCTCTTGGGTCAATTCTGAAGAAATTGCAGTGTTGAAAACATTTGTCTCACTCCCAGCAAAAACCAACAAATGGACACAGATTCCGGAAATCGCGGCTCTTCAGAGCTGTGCCATGCCGTGCGACATGAAGGTGTGGAGGTCGGCAGAAGCGCGGGAAGCGAACTGGGCCATCCGATGCTTCACCTGAGAACATCACCCGGCGAACTGGGTCCGGTCACGGTCACCTGTCTACAGCGAGGCGCCCTGAAGGCGTTCGTGAAAGCTTAAGCATGTGGGAATCTGAATTAGCTTTCAGCATGTGTCATCTTGCTTGAACTGGAAAGCTGGTCAAAGAGGCCGGCTTCGCACAACATGTTGACAGAATCGAACTGCCTGGAGGGGCACAACTCTGGTTCTTGGTGGTTGTTGTCCCGGGTCCAAAAGAATTGTTCCACCCAAGTACAGTGCTCTAAAAGACAAGCAAGGAAAAACCAGTGAAACTTTATTGATTCAACATATTTTGTCTAATTCACTGGTCACCGGATGTCGGAAGTCGAGCGACGTTGATCTTCTCGCACTGCTCGGAGATCGTGGCCTGAGTTTTCGGGGTTGCGTGGGAGACGCCTGGTCCAGGTGAAGCCGCTTTTGTTGAAATCCAGGTGAAATCCACTTGAGAACTCCCTGAGACTACTTGAGAACTATGTAAAAGAAGTCTGACTTCAGCTGTGGGTTGAAAGATTGGCAGAACATCGATTAAAAGGTGGGGAATTCAAAATTGGCCATGAGGGTCAGGAGCGGGTTTGTGGACTGATCTTGCAGCGGATAAACCACGTGAATGTGGTGGAAAGCTGTGTTGCCAACGAATGGAACCTATAGCCACTAATTACTATACCAGCAGGATGGAAAAAACAGAAAGTCCAAAGCACTTCCTCAGCACAGCTCTGCGCCACAAAGTCTATTCTAGCATATTCTAGCTATGAGGCGATAATGAACATGAGCATTGGAAAAAGAAAAAACAATCGTATGCAACTGCAATAGGACTAACCAAAACAAAGTAAGCATGGGCTATATAGACTGTAGACTGTTCAATCTTTAGATTTGAGGTCCTTCTCTACATCATGAATAAGTAGCTTTTCTTCTCTACATCACCATCTTGAAACCCCTTCGACTCCATCCCCATCGGCCTTGCTTTGCAGCTGCTCCGGCAAAGTGGCGATGCCCAGGGCCGCCGCCAACAAGCGGTGCACCAGGACGTCCGCATACCGACGGATGGGCGAAGTGAAGTGAGTGTAGCCTTGCGGCGTAGCGGCGAGAGGCGGCGAGATGCGGCATGGGGATGGACGGTGGGAGTGATAGGGAGGGAATAGACCAATAAGTGGAGGACTCTGGGGGGGTATGAAGAGACATGAAGAGACGTTGGGTGGCATTCAGTCTTGTCGTCACAACAACACAGGCCATGCAGATTGAGAAAGCTCTCCATCGTCACAGCGCTTTGCGCAAAACCTTGGTCATGGAGGTCCAGAATCTGACATTGAAACCGTGCTCGCGCTGAAACCAAGTGGCGCTCCATCGCGAGGCCGTAGTGCGCATAGAGCGCTGGCTGGACTTCCCCCGTGCAGAAGTAGACCGCCTGGTTCATGCACCTCAAAATACGACGCGTCCCCACGGCCGGTGGAAGAGTTTGTCTCCCGAGGATGGGCATCCATAAAAGCCTCCTTGTGGGTAGAATCATAGAAAGGATGGATGAATGCCAGGTTGTTTGGACTTGGATATGCGTCCCCATGTTGGAAAACATAAATAGTTAGTGCAGCAGCCACGAGCTGGCCTGGATTAAAAGTATGTTGCTCTAACTCAGACCTACCCTAAAACCTGGGCCAAGTCTACAAAAACTGGGGGTTGTGCTCATATTGTAAGGCAAGGACCTCCCAAACTCTTGAAAAGTGAAACCACGGCCCACCCCAGCCTCTGCAAAGAAAAGACTCACGGCCACCCTGCACATCCCAACGCCCAGAAGGTATAACGACACCACACCTGGTGGTCATGATCCTCACCAGGGTGTTGAAGAAGGGATCCTCCAAATCACCAGTAACAAGTGCATCGCTACTAGTAACAAGTGCATTACTATTGGTAGCAAGAAGCTACTAGTAGCAATTTGCTACTTATTAGTACTGCACTTGTTACTAGTGCCCAACCAAAGGCGTCGTGTCGGGCCCGAACCTCGCTTGGGCGGGAGCGGGCCCGTGAGGCTACGCGAGCGTTTCCGGCGATGGCCTCCACCTAGTAGCGTCCTTGTTCCTAATAGCTTCTTGTTACTACTAGTAAGGCACTTGTTACTAGAAGCGATGCACTTGTTACTAGTAGCGTCCTTGTTCCTACTAGCGATGGCCTCCAACCTGATTGGCCTTGCCTTCGCATCTTAGAAAGTCCCAAAGCTCCACAGCTCCGGAGTCCTCTGGTTTCACGGCCTTCTGCAAGGAGTCTGACAGTTCCTGGTGCGTCAGGAACAGGAAGAACATTGATATTGGCGATTCTACTTTGTGCCAAACCAGGAACCAATCAAACGACCAGGTACATGCTCTGAATTCCTGCGTGAACTATGACGAGATGTATTCAGACTAGTTTGCGAGCCACATCCTATCACCCGACCCCCTTGTATCCATACAAGTAGCATAGTCTTTCATGACCCGTCAGATCACCTTGATTGGAAGGGATCTCTGCCTAGGTCATTGAAAAATGTCTCAAAAGGGGGCACCTGACATGAGGTCCAAATCGTGTGGTGGATGTTATAGACATCCACCCCATTGGTGGCAAACTTGGAGCACCAACAATCAATCAGCAGACTGGGTATTACCTGGTGATCCCCACACTCCAATGGCTTGCGACTGTTTATGCTTCTCCCCATGCCAGCATGCATGCAGTCTGCCTCGAAACGCAGCACCCATTCGGGATTCCGGTGAGAACTTGGAGATACCGAATATCCCTAGCTCCATGGACAAGCCAGAATTCATAAAATGCACAGGTATGTGCGATTGTAGCGGTAGCGCCTTGTTGCTGCCGAAGGCAAAATGGTGAAGGCCGTTCTTCGCCAAAAGCTGCTGCAAAATCTTCAGCTGCTCATCCTCTTCGAACGACGTGTCTCGATTTCGACGCTTCCTCGACGTTTCTCGTCACCGGGGAGCTGCGACAGGCGAATGGACGGCTGGAGCATTTGTTGGGTAGTTATAAGTACGAGGCATCCCAATGACCCAGTTGTTCTGAAAGGAGATCGTGCATAAGCTTAGGATGGCCTACGTATTCGTAGCTTCTAATCGGATCTGGGTAAGAATCCACAACATTGGAAACTCCCACGGTTGCCCGCTACATCTCTGACACTCCTTGGGCGGTGGATGGCGTCGTAGCACGCCGAACATGGGGAAGCTCTCGAGGATCTTCGTGGCGACCGCCTGGTTCGCTAACAACATCAGCTCCTGCAACTCGGCGGCCGAATTCAGCGGATGGGAGACGTGCGGCGGGAGAAGCGTTGCAAAGCTTGGCTGGAAAGACTAGGAAAAACAGAACACCCTTGAAAAACCCATGTTATATCATGTTATTGCATCAAACACGCCAACCAAAAGAGCAAAATATCTATAAAATCCCAAGTCGCCTGGCGCGCAAAAATGTCCTTTTCTGCGGCTCCGGCATTTTCAACTCGCAATCTCAGAGTTCGGCGGCCAATCACTCTGGATGTGATTAGAAAAGGTAGCTGCAGCAACGACGTGTCGCTTGCAGAATCCTTTCCGCAAAACATAATGATAATGTCCCGGGTAGGAATGGAACTGTAGGAACTTCCCAAGCGTGACCCACGAGAGACTCAAGGCACTCCTTGAACACTCTATGTCATTACGTGGCCTGCTTGGAATCGCTAATACTGGCAGGGGGGGATGGGGTGGCTTGTCCAACAAGTTGCACCAGACACTGCCAAATCAAACTCATCATCCAGACCGTGGATGAGGTGGCTTTTCTGCTCAGATCATCCATCCGGTCCATCACGAGACGAGACTGCCTTCCCGTCAAATGAGACTTCGGGTAATTTGCATCTTGAATCCACATTTGAAGCCGAGCCAAAAAATCATGCCCACCACCGCCTGCGGCAGGTTCATCAATGATCGTTTGCGGGTGAATGGCGTTTGGCATGAGTTTAGCTGAGGTTGGACGAGAAGCATTTACGACAACGGATGAGCAGATCCCAAAAGTTGATACATGTTGTGCATTGACATGTGCAAATCAATCTATATCATATCATATCATTGTCATAGAATCATAGAATCATATCAGTCTAGAAGCATATGATCAGCTTCCATCAATCTATCTGAAACCGTCTTCGATTGCTTTTTTGCAAAAGCATCATGTTAGCTCTTTTCATTGCCTTTTACCCAGAAAGCTGGGGTGCTGACGTCAAACTCGTGAAGCAAGCTCAAAATTACACGATATCCCCGCAAAAATGCAACCCGGAAAGAAAAAAAAAAGAAACCGTAAGACCCCAGTGAAATTCTTGAGCTACTAGTATCAAAGGAGTGAAGTCCCAATGACCAGAAGTCACATCAACACATAGAAATACCAATGGCACAGCGCCAATCAAGGGTCCTTTTTTTCTACGTCTGTGTGAAAGAAAGACTGGCAGGAATGGGACAGTCTGTGATATTTAGCACCTTTCCTCCTGGACATGGCGGACAAATCACAGTGGCACATCAAAGAACATACACACAATTCGATGTCAAAAGTAAAAAAACACGATCACCGAAACATACCGAAACACTGTTCGCACGCAGGATTTGGACCTGAGTTGTGTCATGAACATAGATCACCTACGAGCCGAAAACACTGCGCGCACGCAGGGCCGAGACGACTTCTTCTCATTGCTACTCAACCTCTGTGCCCTCCCCGGGTCCAACGCCTTCTGAACACGGGTGAAGATCCTGGTGCTTGGCGTGCTCGCAGGGGAACCAAAAGGACGGAGGTATATACTTCAATGGCATTCCCAGAAGGGCAGCAATAAGAATCTAAACCTCTGGTTGGTTCTGTGAGAGATTAGGGCATCCAATAATCTTTAGGTAGATCCTCAAGAGTTCGATGGGCCTCCATTGGGAACGGGTGTTGTCCTCGGGAACGGGCCCGGCCCGTGTGGGACTGTTGCAAAGCCCCCCCCCCCCCCCCCCCCCTCCCCCAAAGAAAAGGGGCCTCCGTGCCACTGTGCAAGGGACTCGTAACAAGCTTAGTTCGATGGAGGACTCGCTCTGACTGAAGATCCACCGTTCAACAGGTTTGCTTCCCTTGCGGTCGAGGGGACCATATGGGACCATCATGTGCCGCTATACTGAGGGAGGATTTCACCATGGCCAGTCCAGTCACTGACGCCGACCGCTTTCGCAGCGGAGCGCCACTGTCCCCTCTGAGCTTCCGGACCGATGTCCCAACGTCTGCTTGGGGATCGTGTGGGTGAAGGGGTCCACCGTCCCCTCATCCGTCGCCTCCCAGCAGTACTCCGCGTGGTCGGCCACCGCCGTGGCCAGCTGGGCGCCGAAGAGCTCGCGGAGCAAGGCCAAGGAGAGGTCCTTAAGGATGGGACCGGAGGGACTGGGAACCGGAGGCACTGCAGTTTTGCATGTCTAACTTAGGCAGGAAACTTCAGCGGTGGTTTCTTGGGTGGGAAGAATGAGGAGATGTTGTGGATGGGCGGATGACCCAACGGTCAGGAAGAGCTGGATGGAATATGATGGAATATTGAGTGCATGGACTAGTGGATGATGGGCAGAAGTTCTCAATCTGAGGAACCCGACCCACCATTCCAGTCAACAGTGAATGTTGATGAATGTTGGGAGCAATGAAGATCTGAAAGTCTATCGATCTCAGGAATTCTCAGGATAGATGACAGGTGGATGTGTGGATCAAGGGTGGAGGTGGGCAGATGCTTCTCATGAAGTCTATGGTTCACAGTTCTCCCAAGGCACAGTGCCCGCAGAGACGCCACTGGAGGTATAGAACTTTCCGTCCACCACCCAGCGAGCAGTTGGAAACCACTTGACTCGGGGCGCGAACAGTTGCATCAAATCCTAGGTGACGGAGCCGCATTTCAGTGGCTTTGCATGAGCTGCTGAAAAAAGGTCGAATAATGTCCAATGTAGCTTTTGGATCCTTTTGGAGGTCGTCCCTCAGTTGAGGATGAAGGATGAATCGTTGACTTGGTTCAAGCGTGGTTCAGGTCCACCGGAAGGGTGGAAGGTCCATCCTGAGTGTGTAACCCACAACTAATCAATTATAGGCTTGTGAACAGACGCGCTCTTTTCTCTTGACAAAAAATGCCTTCGATCGGTGGTCTCACCGCTTGGAAAATCACGGACTCCCCCTTTTCGTCCGTGACGAAAACCAGTCGTAGCCGGCAAAATGCCTCGGCTCAAGGCGGTGTACACTGGCATTTTGCCTTGTAATACTCCGCTCTCATCTTTTCTCTCGTCCAGCCCCTTCGGGCGTGCTGCTTTTGAAACTTGTTCCAGGGATTCTCGGGCTCTGTCGATGCCCTTGAGCTTGATGAAGGCATGCTCATCGGTCCCTGGAGTGCACCGTGGAGGATCATTGAGGCTCTCTCCACACTAGCGGCTGCTCTGTCAGCAGCTCGGGCGGCCAGTTGAGCGCTCACTGCCGCCTCTTCAGCATCACCCGCGGCCTTAGATGCCGCCTCAGCCACATCCCTGCTTGTTCGGGAACTGGACACGGAGCGGTCTGCTGAGCCCGATTGCCTCTGAGTAGGCATGGATGTAGAGCCATCTGCCGAGCCCGATCGTCTCCTGGTAGGCACGGACGTAGGTCCATCTGCTGGGCCCGATCGCCTCCTTGTAGGCAGGGTCATAGGGCTCCTGCTCGACATAGTAGCTTCATCACTCTGGGCTTGAGGGTTTCGCGTCCTCAAACTTTGCGGTGTTGTCACCAAAACATCAGCCCCTCCATCTTCATCAGCTGACGTTGAACTCTCCTTTTCCTCCTCTTCATCGGAGCCCTGCTTCTTCCGAGGCTTGATGGTCACCTGGTGCAACCGCCTCAGACAGCAATGCATCGACGCATAGATCGCGCTGCCAACCCAGATTGCCCCAATCGCAATCAAAATCAGGCCGCAGATCCAAAGGGCGTCAACTGTTGAATCCTCCGCCGGACTCCCTTGAGCTTCAGCCGTTCGCACCAGCACACTTCCTGCCAGCAATGCTCGAGCTGCGGCCGCTTGATCATGTACTTGGGGGGGTCGTCGATCAGCTCCATTCTGCTCTTGTAGTAGGGGTTGTCGACGGTCCATCTCAATGACCTTCAAACTGGCTTCCTCTCCCTTCAGGCCCAGATCACTAAGAAAGTTCTGGAAACTTTGGCCCAAGAGAGGTTTCGTTAAGCCATCAGCCACCAACTCAGTGCCTCTTAGGTGCATCAGCTTCCAAGCTCCACCTGGGTATGGACTATTGTTTTCCAGGGCCTCCCTGAGAAGATTCGATCTCACCCGGAGATGTCTTGTCCTCCAGGATGTGGCACTGTTGCCATGGGCCAGTGATATAGCCGCGGCATTGTCGCCATAGATCACCCTGTCAAAGGTGTTGTTCTTTAGCTCCTCCCCCCACATGGTGCACAACAATGCCTCTGTCGCACGACCTGATGTCAGGGCCTCACAGTACGACACCAATTCGGCTTCCGCTGTGCTGTGGGTCACAAATGGTTGCGAAGAGCTCTGCCAAGCGATGGGTGCTCCAGCAAAGTAAATTGCCAGGCCTTGTGAACTTCGGTGTCCTGACCCGGTGCCGTAGGCGATGTCCGCATACACCTCAATGAGTTTCCCATGTCTGGGGATCTTCAATTGCCCACGCGCACCCCAAACTTGATGCACCTGACCCGTGTAGTGGAGGTCTCCTGGAGTGCCCTTGATGTAGGCCAGGAGGGTATGAGCGACTTCCACCGCCTTCTTTGGGTTCCGGGTCATCATGCGGCTGACCACCGCCACTCCCAGCGCGAGATCTGGTCTTGACCTCGTTGACAGCCATAGAAGAGATCCTGCCAGGGCTTGTGCTTCACGAACTTGCCTGATGTCCGTTTCCCCTTGTGCTTCAAAGTCCTCCTCCGTGATCTTGAAGTTGGGGAAGTTTGAGCTCTCCTTCACATTCCACCGAGCCAGAATCTCCTGTTCATACTTCTGCTGAGATAGGTGGAAGCCATCACCCTTTTCATCTGTCTTGACCTCAAAACCGCAGAAGTGGACAGGATTCTGTGGTGAAGCCCATTCAACACTTGACGTGGTCCAAGTGGCCTGCAGGGATGTCAAAGCTGACGACAGGGCCACCTCTTCTCCAGTCAGCAGGATGTCATCTACATACACTGACATCAGTCCGGTCCAGTAACATTCCCCGGACACCACATCTTCCTCCTCCAGGCGCCACAAGTTCTCGTCAGCCGTCTTGACGAAGTGGCCGCGGACTTTTCGATCCTCCTTCATGCGCACCCAGCTCACCATTGGCAACGTTCTGTCCCTATATTGCGACCAGTCCCGTGGCGAGGTAGTCAACCCATACATCGCCAATTTCACCAGCCAGACTTCACCTTCACGGGCAAGACCGAGGCGCTTGTACACATGTGGGATCTCCATAGCAACCAATTTTCCATCCTCTCTTCTTGGAGCGTTGAGGAAGGCTACACGGATGTCAGTTGCCGCTACCGCCCATGACTTCAGGGCCGCAGTGCGGATGAGAGCTCGTACTTGGCATCCATCAGCACCTCCAGCATAACAGTCTGTGCTGAAACGGGTCTCGGAGTAGTTGCCGCAACATACAGCTCTGGCTCTTCTCACTCCCGCTCCGGCCTTCCTGGTGAAGACCATTTTTGCTGGAAGCAGTTCGATGATCTTGCCCTCCTTCTCAGCTTTTGCCTGCAGGGCCTTTTTGGTGATCTGTTGCACGGCCTCCTTTGTTTGGACAAGCTGTGTATACTCAGCTCGAATGGCCGGGACCCAATTCTCAAAATCATCCATCACTTCTTTTGTACTCACAGTTTTGGTGACCAGGAACTCATCCTCCATCTCTTTCTGGCACAGCTGCACCTGATCTTGATGGTTCTGCAACAACTGTTCCTCGGCCTCCAACTTGTGCAGCACCGCTTGACTTAGCACCCCACTGTACCAGGCCTGCTCCTCACTGGTGATGTCCACGTGCCCGATCTCCTCGTTCACATACTTCGCCAAGTTCGCTTGCACAGAGCGAAGAAGTTGCAGTTTGGTGATTCGAGCTCCCCCGGGCCTGATCTTTTGTAGTGATGCCACTGGGTATGAGCCACCAGCCCAGTTGTTTGGCGCCTCCTCCAAATCCCCTCCTCCAAGACTGTCCACCCCCAACAACCCCAATTCTCGGCCCGGGGGACCCTCCCCACCAGCGCTTGAGGCTTTCGAGGATGCTGTTGAAGGTGTTTCTATAGTCCAGCTGTCACTGCTCCAGTCAGTCGCATCCAGCTGCCTATCATTCGGGCCATGAGCATCGAATGCGTCCCGATGCAAACCCAGCCATTTTTGGACATACGCACAGGGCCATTTGTGAGCATAGGCACCAGGCTCCCCCTCCATGCCCAGCATGGATAGTTGTGGGATGGCCGTTTTTTCACGCAAGCGACGACGAGGAATGTCCCCTTCCCATGCCGCCGAACCTGAGGGCTCTTGTTGAAGAGGCAGGTACACATGATCATCATCAGCTTCCGGCTGGTCAGCACTTGGTATCACCACATCATCCGTGTAGAAATACCTTTGAGTTTCTGTTGACCGCACATAGTAGCTTGTGGAGGTGAACGAACTTTGCAAGGCTGGTCCAAGCACCTGTACCTCATCTCGGATCGTCCTCCACGGTTGGTAGCGATCCTGCCAAGACTTTTTCAAAGCATATGCCTTGGCCCCAAACTTCAACAGCGGTCCAACAGGGACTCCAAGAGATCTGAGCTGTCCTCGGAGCCGGCGTTCGCCGATGTGGATGGCCGCTAAGGGCCACTGGTTGAGCTCCAGATCCGTGGTGGTCATGATCGTGCGGACATGTTTTTTGATCACTCCCAGCTCGCCTTCAACCCGGATAGTGTTGCCTCCAGCTTTCCAAAGCAACCTGACCCAAAGGCCGGAGAGCTGTTTCCAATGCCGGTGCGATGCCCCTGTTGAGGTGATCTTGAAGCGCAAGCACCAATGCCACCTTGAGGCCAGGGGCCCATGCAGCCCATTGTTTTGATTGATCACATCTGTCCCGCAAGGGCATGCCACGCCGATCTAGAGCGGCTTCCTCATCACCACACGGAGGACCACGAATTTCGTTCAGGGCATGGATGTCACGGAGCTTGACTGCCAAGGTTGTGGGTTTCTTTCTCACATGACCCATCGGGCCTTGATCGAAGTGGAGCAACCGGATCTGGTAGGTGTCGGAAAAACCCGCCAAGCCTTCGTCCTCCAAATCGACATGAATTTTTTCTTCTCCACTTCTTCACGAGGTCTGTAGCGAGCCGGATCTTCAGGCTGCTCAAGGGCCAGGGCAGTTTGCGGCTCATGTTCATGGCGAACATCCTCACATAGCACATACAATGCCAACATTCTGAACAAGAGGATGCTGTCCCCCCAAACCAAAGCTTGCTCTGCCATTGAAAGAGATGGAAGGCCATAAGGATGCTCTTCAGACCGCAACACACCTGGACCATCATCGTCCTGGTACCGCAAAGCTGACACCGTACGGCAGGGCGGACCGCCCACAAAGGCCTTGACACGGCCTGTTGCAGCCAAAGCCAACAAAAACCGATAGACATTGTCATCGTGCATGTCGGCTGCCACTGCTGCTTGTAGATCAACACAAAGCACCTCAACTCCATTCTGCTGAAGAGCCTTCTCCCAATACCGAGCATCAGGGCCGGAAAACAGATGGAGCACGATTTGCTTGGCTTGGGCCAGGCGTCTTCGTTTTCTCCGGTTCCAAGGCAGCAACGATCCATCCGCCACCTGCTGTAGATCCGAAAGGTCCGGGATCACCTTCATCAAAAGCTCATCCGGCGCATCCTGCAGAAGATGTTTCAGCTTGAGTGTGAGGGCCATTTCTGTTGACAAAGGCGGAGCCATAGGAACCATCGAGGGCTGTGCAAACAATGTCTTGATGAGCAAGGCCTTCTGAGCCAAATGCACCTGACGTCGCTCCAGCCGATCGATCATTTGTCGTCCCAGCTCCTTGTTGACCATGGGGCACCCATGTTGTATTGTAACATCCAGCTTGTTGCCATGATCATCTTTCAACAAACAGTAGGACCCCTTCCACTCAAAACGATAACCCAACTCTGCAATGCCACCCAGCGGAACAATCCATGATTTGTCCAGTTCTGCATCGTGTGGAGCAGAAAGGAGCACCTTTGAGTCCTGCTTCAGCCGGAGTTTATTTGACACTCCTTCAGCCAAGGTCACTTGTGTGGGCTGCGCTGCTTCCCACTCAACCATGTCCGCCGCCGGACGAAGCGCATGAGTTGCTCCGGAGTCCAAAAGCACTGTAGACCCGCTGGTGTCATAGTCAAGCTGACTCACCCTTATCACACGCAATTGAGGAGCACGAAGGGACTTGAGGAGCTGTGTTGCCTCATGGAGCAATGCTTCACTTGTTGTTGCCCCTGTTTCACCTCCTTTTGTCATAGTCTCTCCCGATTGGTTGTCACCAGCTCCCGTTGCATAGGCGGTCTCAGGGCCCGGAATTTCCATCTCCTGCAACTTGACGGGATTCTGTGCAGCTTGTTGACCTCCACTGGACCTGGAGCCGGACTGCATCTTTCCTCCCCCTGAGCCAGCACTTGGCTCACCAGCGCCCTTTCCATCCTTGGTCGGAGAAGGCTTCCCTGTGGTTTGTGACTTCAACTTGCAGTCGGACTTGCGATGGTCTTTTCCTCCGCATATCCAACATCTTTGAGCTTTGTCGTCAATGCCATCCCAGGCATGTGACCATTTGCAGTTTTTGCCTGCTTTGCAGCCGGTGTCTGACCTGAAATACCGGCACGGGAGAGCTGCTGTGGAGGTGCCCTTGCCTTTGTCCCCCGCGGAGGCAGCTCCTTGTTGTTTCCCCGGAGCATCCAACTGTTTCACCTTCACCGGTGTAGCTGACGTTGTAGGCGTAGAGTTCAGCAGAGTCAAAGTCTCCACCTCCGCCAGTAAACATTGACTGAAACGCCAGACCCCTGCATGATGTGGCTGTTGATCCACCCCCAACTGCAGCCTGCTCTGCGCCAGTCGAAAGGCCGCTTGTGCATCCAAGGCTGCGATCTGAGTGACTGCAGGCTCCAAAGCCTTGAGGAGTAAAGTGCCATCAGGAAGCACTGCCCCAATCTCTTCAGCTCTGGCGTAATGCCGCCGCCAGGTGCGCAAAGTAGCTGCCAGTTCAGGAAGGCCAGCGGCTTTATCCAAAGCCGTGAGTTTGGCCAGGAGGATGGATTTCTCACCTGCTCCGCCTGGTTGGTAGCGGACCAGAAGCCTGAACAACAGGGCCGTGGATGTGAGCTCACGAGCAGTGATCAGCGCTTGCTGCTGGTCGCCAGGGATCGCCTTGAGCAGGAGGTGCACTCCCCGCTGCTCAGTTCTCTGGTACCGGACATCGAAGAGCTCGTCCGGCAACTTGGGGTCCAACTGGACTCTCTCCAAGGGCGATGCAGTCTTCCAGCGATCGTAGTAACATTGGGCCTCCCGCAAAGTCAGGTTCCACCACCTGGCTGACACTTGCGAAAGATCACGAAGCACAGGACCGCAAACCGCCAACCAATCCCCCAGCTCTATTGGCGATGCATCTGCCGCCAATGTTGGAAGGTCAGCCTTGCTGCCACTGCCATCATGCCAAGGGAGCGGCGCTGCCATTGACGAACCACTCTCAGGCCGCCATCGACCATAGATCTCATCATCACGAGGTTCAGACCCCAAACCAGGGCCTCCCGCACCGGGCCTTGACATGCCCATAGCTTCACTACGCACCGGCCGCCATACATCACCATGAAGACCTGTGCCAGGATCAGGAGGGCATACACGATCACATGCTTGGGGTGCCCGATGAAAGTTGAGCTCCCCACCATGACCATGAACCATGCCGCGAAGATCATGTCCATGCATTCCCATGCTACCTCCAGGCAAGCATCTCGGAGCCGGAGGGACCTCCTTGGAGCATGAAGTGGTGATGCCAGGGACATTCTCTTTCATGTAGGCCAAGGAGTTCTTCAATTCTTCAACTTCACGTTCCAGCTGAGAGGTGCGATCCTGTGGAACAAAAGCTTTCCCCTCACGCTGGTCCATGGGCAACCACTGCGAATCGCCATGTCGACCACGGCGATCCAAAAGTTCATAACCTGTCAACAAACTAAGATCAGCCAAGTTGCTTGACGGTGGAAAGGGAGGTGCTGGAATCTCCAGCAAGGCGGCTCGATCAGGAGGTGAGCCTGGAGGCACCTGCGTCCCATTTGGAGTGAAGCGATGCCCACCAGCCGCCGGCCTTCTATTCGTAGGACTTCGCCCACGAGGAGTGCGAGGCGGCTCACCCTTCTTCGCCATCGGCCGAACCGGCCCCCCACCATCACCAACACTGGTTGTGGACCCCAAAGAAGCTTCTTCTGCGGGTTGTCCTCCCCCTAAACCATCAATTTGAACCCAGGATGACGGGGTGGATGTTGGAGCGCTACCCGACTTCGACTGGTGCTTCTTCAAACGCTCCAGTTCATCCCAAAGCTGGGTGTTTTGCTCCCTCAAAAACTGCACCATTTCCGCCTCCAAGGCTCTTTGAAGGCTATCTTGGTCCTCCTTCTCGCGATCAGGTTCACGAGGAGGTCGATGCTTCGGCGGCAGCGGACCCATGGAGGCGCGGCCATGACTTGAGGGACCAGAGGAACTCTCGCTTGGAGGCATGATCCCATCAGTTTGCTTCCCCCGGCCAGAAGGACGACCATCGATTTCGCTGCGGGCACTCGGGGGTGTGGTGAAAAGTCGAGCCCCGACCGATCCACCCAGAGACGTCACACCACGTCCCTTTCCCGAGCAGGCTGTGCTACCATCCTGCACCGCCTCCACCTCATCTTCCAAGTCGCCGTCTGCCGGTACCGGCAAGTCCTCTGGCCTTTTTGACCTCAGGATAGCTTCCCGCTTCACCTTGTCGCTCCACCATGGATTGAGGGCCACCGGTGGCAACGACCGAGCGCGGTCCATCGCCCGCCCGAAAAACCGGACCTACCCCGAGCGGTCGTTTGGGCTCATAACCCTTGTGAACAGACGCGCTCTTTTCTCTTGACAAAAAATGCCTTCGATCGGTGGTCTCACCGCTTGGAAACTCACGGATTTAGGGATTGACATGATCAACAAAATGTTCCATTTGAATCCAAACACCAAGTGGTTGACAATGGTCAAAGAGTTGTGGTTGTGGTTGCCCGTACAAACGATCAACATAGATCAACCAATGCACACTGTTTAAAAAAATTAAAAAAAAAAAAAAAAAAACTCCATAAGTGCCACAACCACTGTCTCCCTGGTTGTCTTCCCTTCCAAGCAGCAAACGCCAACTTGTTGGTGGTGCCACGGCGATTCTCCAGCAGCCCCGCCGAGCCCAGGATGGCGCTCCCGGTGCAAACGGTCATCACCCGCTGAGAGCTTTCCACCAGGGCGCCTGGGCGGGCAACGAGTTTGGAGTGTATGGAGCTGGTGTTCAATGGTCGGATGCCACTCACGCATGGGAGGCCATGGTCATCCGATTTGTTGCGTGAGGTCCAAACGTGTTTTTACGCACGCGATGAGCGCATCGTGAACCTCACCATCAATCTCGGGAGGGTGATGTGGTAAGGTGACAGGCAAAAGTGAGTGTCCAAACTATTTTCAGATCTCTTTATAGGTCGAAATCCTGAGTTTCCAGTTGCGGGGAACATGAACCCAGGAAAGTTTCAGGAACCTGGACACACCACGTTCACTCCCCGACTTTCAGGTGCTTAAGGATCGGCAACTGCTCCAAACCGAGCGACGGATGGAGTGCTGGAAAAGCGGATTGTAGATCTCCCGGATCGTGCCAATCCCACCAGGAAGCAACCTGACACATGACATCAGAAGCCCGTGGCGATGAAAAACACCTTTGTTGTACTTTGATATTTCGTTACATAATCATGCAGATTGTTTCGTTGAGAACCGTCTCAACAGTGGAATGCACCAGGTTCCAAGCCCAAGTAGTCCACGTCCGAAGCTCGGGATTTCAGTGTCCCGACCACACAGTTTGTGCCATGGCAGTCCCATTGCCAAGCAGTCCCACCTGTGACCCGTGACTCGTTCCGAAACAACAGGTATGCTCAATAAAGGTCATCGGGTGGAGCGAACTCGCCTACGACCCTTTTGGTGGATCCGCGGCCCCCAAAACCTCTGGCGCGGGCGGCGTGTCGCCCGGCAACAGAAGATCGATCTCCTCCAAGCGTGTCGCGTTCTGTAAGACCTGAAACGCGTTCTGTGGAGCCGAAACGTGTGGTTGTCACCGGTCACAACTCGATGTCTATGCCTGGAACGAACAGGGAACAGGAACAAACCACATTCATTGGTTTAATTGCTGTGCTTCTTTTATTTATGTTAAGAAAAACAAATCATGTACTGTATAACAATGTGTTCTTTGTATGACATCCATATTCATTGATAAAACCCCTCCAGGCCCCTATACTGGAATGGGTTCACATCTCCATATGGAAGGCTTTAATAAACAGTCTGCATTAGTCTTCTAGTATGTAGTGTTTGGGATGCCGGATATGATCCATTTGATGCTTGAAGGAATAAAACCAAAAAGAACACTCACAACTTATCACGGTGCAATACCATGAACAATAATAAGCTACTTCGCTCTCCTCCTCTCCTCTAACTGAAAGCTGGAAAGGTGATGAAATGTATCAAATTGACATGCTTTGTACGTACATGTATGTAACTATACTGGCCTCTGATGATCAGATGACTAATGATGTGTGCCTCTGATAAGTTTGGATTGTAGGTACAGGAGCTCCTAACACACATGTGTCTGCAGACAGGTGGATGCATAATATACATTAAAAAACATGTCCAGAAGGGCGTATGTGGCGGGCATATGAGTAAGGAGTTGTGTATGGAAGACGCCCCGGCAAAAAAGAAGTTCAAAATTCACTGCGGACACAATGACACTAAAAACATGAGATAACATGAGTAAGGAGTTGCGGCAAAACCAAAGAAACACCCTTTTTCTCGGTGAGCCATGCCATCTTGTTTGGCCTTTTTTGCCGATGGCAGGCATGAGGTTCATGAACCCAACATTGCCTTGAGGTCTTTGAGTTGGGCCTCCCAAAGTTGGGCCTCCTATGCCTGCAACAAAATCTACCACCCGCTTCTCCTGGCCCACAACTCCTAACTCACCACTCCACAAAACAATTGTTTTTGTCACCTGACCCTGCGCCAGCCATGAAATCTGGTACACTCATAGCTTTCTTCTCCAACCGTGAGCTGCCATCTCGATTGGCCTTTTTGGCTGGACCAGGCTCTCTTTTTACTTAAATATATATATATATTTAATATAATGTTTTTTTTCTGTCCAAAATATGCTAATGATGCAGCTGGCCGTGGGCAGCATCATTCAAACCACGTCAACTCAAGACGGATCATCCTATGCCTGCAACCAAATCTGACACTTGTCTTCTCATCTGGACCACAACTCCTAACTCATGTGGGCATTGTGTCGACAAACCACGAACACATGATCCTTTGGGAACTGTTCGAGCATGCTCAAATTCTTGTCATTTTCGCAGGGTGATGAGTCAAGGATTTGCAGCAAATTTGCGAAGCAGTAAGTGGCTGATGAGTAAGGATGCTAAAACTGGCATGCGCCTCCGTTAACTCCTTAGTCGCAGTATATACATGTCTGATTTACCCACCCTCACCCCCTTGGTCCACACACCGCTTGGTCCATGCTGTTGACGCCTGGTCCATGCAGAAGACCGGGCCCTCGAAGGACTTGGTGAGCTGGTCTTCGGCCACCTTGGAGAGGGTTTTCATGGGTTTTGCCTCAAACAAGATGTGTTCAATGTACTCAGAATTTGGGGCCCGAATCGGTGGAGTCAAACCCTTGGAAACCATGAAGATCGAGCATGAGAATCTGGGGGTCGCTCCGGCCGGACACATCGCTGTTTGAACTGCCTGGTGGGGCCTTGCTGAGAACAGGCATCCAAATGGACCTAGGAAGTGCACTGAGCAATGAGCGAGGATCCATTTGCAGGCTCCAGCACCCTCCGAGCATCTACCTTTCAAACCTGAAGGGTGTACATCCAAGTCACCCACCAAAATGTTGCAGTTACTGTGATCACTACTGTGAATTGATTCCACTCATCCATACTCATCCCCAATTCGTTGGAGGCGCAACCTCCAAGCCCACTCATTTGGTCCAAACCGCACTCGTGAGCTCAAAGGCAGGCTTCTCCCCTCACAGGCTTTAAGGCTTTCACAAAGCAAAATGGTAACATCTTCTGAAGCGTGCAATGCATTCCAAATGGATATGATATTGGCCTGGTTCAACAACAACGACAACAACAACAACAACAACAATCGAACAACAATGTCAAGTGGACGTGGTGAACAGTCCTAAGGTAGATCATGTATGATCATGTCTGCCAGGCCGTGGCAGGCCTACGTATAATATACGAGTGGACGATAAGGCCTTACTGGGCTTGCTCGTGCAGGGATTGAGAGATCGTCTGTACTGAAGCGCTCGGCAGGTCTTCTTCCGCAGCGGGTCTTTCTGGTGTGAATGCAAGGACTCTCTCAATCTAGCCATTCTTCCATGCCGCGATGGATCAGAGACACTCGGTCCTAGTCCAATTATGTCCAGTGGTCCTCAAACTCGTAGATGATGGTTTAAATTCAGTACTGCTCAAAGTCCTCCTAAGGGTCCTCGCCGTTGTTCTTCTGAAAGAACATGAAAGAACGCATGATGTTTCAGACCTAAAGCGCCCATCGCCCGTTCCCCAAGTGCCGGTCAGGCCTTGCCGCACCAGGAGGCGATTGGCCACGGCAAACATCTCTAGGGGCCCAAAGGTGTCGAGCATCTCAAACCTCAGGGAATCATGAGAACTCGCGAAAGACAAAATATCAAAGTTTGGAGAACCCCAGGTTCAAGACCCTCCGCTCCACCTCGCGCTCCATCGCTGCCCAGTAGCTGATCATAGGCAACTAAGACTAAGCGCAAGGTGCGTCCCAGGGAATTCTTCAACACCGGCTTCCTCAAACGACCCGCTGCAACGCTGCGACGCTGACATTCCCTCTGCTAGTCTAGCAATCTCTGCCACCGTCCCCTCTCTCTCTCTGTGGAAACCACCAGCATGCGGCATGCAGCATGCATGCTAAATTCATCGCCCAAAAAACCGACCACCGAAGACTGGGAATGGGGACTGGCTTAGGTTTGGAACGTCGTCCCATCTCCCGTCTATCCCGTCTCTCGACGAGCAAAGACCGCTTCGTCCCGGGGGTCGATGTTCGATGAGCAAAGGGATCATGATCGGCGTCCTCCGAGTGTTGGTACTCGGCGACGTTGCACGCCATCTGAGCCACCTGCGTCCCCCATCGCGGAGTCCCCAAGGCGGTGAAGGCGGAGAAGGGCACGGCATCGTAGGGTCGGGCACTGGAGAGGAATTTCTGAGAAGGTTGTTTGTATATATGATTGCATTGTGTAGACATACCGATGCCGTTTCCGACTGAGGCATGAGGGATGATGTAATGTAAGAACGCAACAATCGATCGTTACTGGTTACTAATAACTGGGTCATCTTGTTCAGTTTGTAGGTGGGATTAGGTGGGTCACTCCTGGGTCACCGGTTCAAGAACCAGGAACATCCTGGGTCACCCAAGAAGCAACATAAGCAACTCTTTGGCAACACAAGCAACAAAGAAACGATGCTCAAAAATCGAAAAAAATCACAGAAACACCTTCCCTCGGCCCAACACGTCCGTCACTTCGCACGGCACGGGCGCACGAACACTTCGCACACCTCGCACCTTCGCCCCTGGCCTTGGTGCTGAAGAGCTCTTTGAGGAAGAACCGTGCCAAGTCAATGCCGGCGGCCACCCCTGCGACCGTTCGGGGACTATTGCTACGTGGCGCATGTGGCGGGCCCTATTGCTATTGCCATGGCTCACAAAATGAGACCATCTTGCCACTTTTGGTTCCAAAGGATAGCAGCAAAGGGGTGTATATCGCATACCGTATGCATGGACTGACACTCATCTGGGAAGGAATATGATGGAATTGTTGACTGGGGGAATGCCAACCCTCTCTCAAACTATTGTCAGTGGGACCAGTATGGGGGTTCCGATCGGTAGTTTCGATGGATAATTATGACCATCCTGGAGTAGAAGAAGAAGCCATAGTTGCTGTGGGTTTCAACGTGTTTTAAGATGTTTCAAGCACATGAGCGGCGAAACACCATCACCGGATATATCAGCGAACTGAGTTCGCCCGAACGTCTGGAACACCGAAGCCGCGATAGTCTCGCTCGACCAGCGCCTGATGAGGTGTAGAACTTCCCATCCACAGACCAGCGGGCAGCTTTCTGCCATTGGACGCTCGGATGCTGCGATGCAATCTCGTCAAAGGCCACCTTGTTGGTGGTTGCCTTCCTTGGAAACAGCAACCCGTCAGACGATGAACTAGGAATCCCCAAGCATATGATGGAAATGACATCAACACATTGAACAACTTATAACTTATGCGAGATATGTCACGTTTAAGCATTACAGTTTGCATTGATTGACTGGTCGTGTCCAGTGTCATTAAAAGAAGTGAAACAATTCATGGAAGCCGAAGATACAAACGAAATCTCCCAAAACATCGAGAGAATTGTGAAGCAGCGGATGCATGCGAATACAACGAACGATCTATTCATATCTATTCTATTGATTCTTTGATACGCACATGCCGAGGGCCCCAAACCATGAAATGCTCTGGGCAAGCCGTTCTCAAAAAATTGATACTTCTGCCCTTTAAACAACTGAACTAACTCCTCTCAACATCAAATTTATTCAAATTTGTTTCACCCTGGAATGCCTCCTGATACATCTGCTGGTGCAAAGCTTCTTGCCACTTAATGCGCCGCTCGCGGCCAGCAGCAAAGACCCAGTACAAACGCTGAGCACGACCGTTGCCCGTGCCGCCAGCTCGGCCAAGCGCGCGACGAACTTCGCCTGGGCGGCTGCGGTGCGGTTGGGCACGGCGAAGAGCACCGGTGGATCCATGCAGCTCCGGTGCCCCCATTCACACCCGGTCACTAATGCAGAAGGTTCTGTCAGGGCAGGTAACTTGATACTTCCAAGATGTTCTACTTGCAGTCAGTCCTGAATTGAAAAGATCCTCAAACATGTCAAAGCATGGGAGCTGGCCGGCCATGAGGTCAAGAAGCAGGGTGAACTGAAGAGGGAGTCGAGGAAATGGTTTTCCTCCTGTACCTCATCGAACCAACCTTTCTTTTGCAGTTTACATACTTCATGCGTCTTCATGCACAACTCACCACTTTGAACCTACTTCAAGATCTCCGAGGAAAGACTGCAGGAACCGCAGGATCTCGGTTGCCTTACATGGGAGAGAACCCAAAAAGTACTGGCAAAATGGCAAAATCAATTGCCTACTACTGCTGCTTCTGCTCCGCAGCCCTGGGCTGGTCACCACTTGAATAACACCCAAGTACTGAACAAACAGCGCATCAAAAAAACAATTGATTGGCCATCGGTCTCCCAGTCTCCCTATTTCAGGATCCAATTGACCTCCTATACCGCGATGCGAGCTCGAGTCTGACACGGCCCATGTTGAGCACTGAAACCATATGAGTACCTGGGGCCCATTTGACCCCTGTTTTGATAGGAAAAACAATTTTGTGGGTGGTTGGAGGTCCAAAACTGAGGTCACTCAGGCTCTAGGCTCAAGGTATATTCGTCTCCACGTGACTCACGTCCTTTTGCTCTTTTGGCCCAGTTGCGTCATGCTGCAAGGCACGTGTCCCAAGGCCACCCGGGACGAAAAGCACATCAGCAGGAGCCGCCGCATCGTCGTAGACGCAGGCATCGGTCATGGTGGTGACACCATCCTCGCTGGTGGGACCGACGAGTCCAAGCCATGCTATGATAGGGCCTTTGGTGGCATCGAAATCCACGACTCAGGTGGCGTATGGTGATGCATCAGTGGGGACTAAGGAACTCAAAGCCTGATCCAATCGCACTCCGAAGACTATTGCAGGACGTTTAACACCTATACACTGTACATAAGTTACACAGTAGAAGAACTTATGTGTGGTACAAGTAAGAAGAGAAAATCGCTATTGATGGAACATTTTGAGACATCCAGCCCAAGGAATAGTTCGATGGCTCGTGGACCCTTTGTGCGCGCCCAAAACTAGTCCTCGGTGGCCGTTCTACGTATGGGAGGGTGAATATGCCGAACTTGACCTCATGTAAATGCTTTCGAAAGAAGTAATTTAAGCATATAATAGTAGAAGAAAACCCACATGAGCCAACATAAGCCGACGATTTTGATGATCGAACTCCCATGTCCTATCCACAGGCTTTGAATCATTAGAACCATGAAATGTTTTGCTTGACGCAATATGGTGGATGTTTGTGGATGAGATGATGGGTACGACGATGATAAAAGTATTTCTGATCAACCTCAGAAACTATAACCTTCGTGGGCACTTGTACCATGTTGTATCACTCGAACTGCGAGAAACAGATGGTTGAACCACGCCAACTCACTGAGATGCAAGTGGTGGAACCGTGTTTGTCGGGCCACATGGGGGCGGCGCTGTCCACTTCCCATCTAAGTTCTTCTCGGATCTCCTTGGTGCATCCTCGTTTTCTTCACCGTCACGCCATCATGCCCAGTCTCTGCAGGCTTGGCCATCTTGGTCTCAGCCTCGGTCTTCTGATGTCAGACAGTTGGGTATCAACTGGCGGACGCGGGGCATCTGATTGGGAATGCCGAGATCCTTGAAGACAAAGCCATCAAAAGCCATCAAAGAGGGTGGTTCCCACAACTTTGAACCCCATGGAGTAAATGGTTTCTGAATTTCTGATGTTTAGCTGTTCTTCAGTGAAAAAGAACATATAGTCTCCACATGTCTCACATGACGCCGCGCATTTTTCCTCAGCCCTCGCACTAGTGGTTGACTCACCAGGTTAATATAAGGATATGTGGGGTATTCATGCGCGCAGGGACACAATCAAAAAATGACCAGATTGGCAAGGAGCAGAATCACGAAGTTCAATCAGGTGCGAGACAAGCAATAGGAGCCCCTCATATCACACAAACATATGGAAAAAAAACAAAACGCGCACCCAAGAGTTTAAACGATGGTCAAAACATGCTAAGACCACTTTAGTACAGAGGGGTAGGCTTCTGCGTGAAAAGTTTAACCCATAAAACCATGAGGTCCAGTCCGATACATAACCCCAGCGCTGTATTAATATAATCATAAGTAGGTACCCCTTCCACAGGAACATAAGAATAATAACGCCTTTCGCATTTGGCCACTGGGGAGCATTCAAGGAGGATTCTGCGGATATTACTTGAAATCTGAGTGAAGCAATTTTTTACAGTGATGCAATGGTCGATGTGAAACGCATTGGAAGGCCAGCTGTTCCCACTAACAACACATGATCTCAGTTGACTCTGCTGGGGCTTCTGGATCTGGGTCGAGATCAGTTCGCAGGAAACAAAAAACAAATCCCTTTTCACATCCTTGAAAATAAATTGTTCATCTGAAAATGGTCGTCTCAGTTTGGTCTTTGCGTTGCCTCTCCAACCGAGAAGCCACCGAGAGGAAGCGGATCCGCATCCGCCCTCGACTCTCGCGGTGGGGTAGCACTTTGGAACAAGCCAACAGCTCCAGAGGGCCATAGACGTCCAACATCTCCTGGGACAGGGTGGTGAAGAAGGTTGCCAGCAAAAAATGACCAATGAACATGCTATGAACTGGACTCAAGTCCTGAAATGCCCAAGGTCACCCACCTTGCGAGTTTGAGTCTGACACAATGTGTCAAATGGTTTTAACATGTTTTAACACGTTTTAACATATTATGTTCACGCTCACATCCATATCCATCGCCCTAACCAATTCAAGCCAGGTCTCATAGTCATCGAAGAGGACCACCGCCACATCGATGCAGCCCCTCCGCTGCACCAACGCCCGCAGCTCGTCCATGGCTTCGCTTCGCTGGTTCTTTCGGATGAGGCGTGGTTCGTGGTTCGGCACAGCTGGGTTTGTGACTTTCGTTCCTCCCGCAGGCTATCCGGCACCAGCCATTTAACGTACTGGGGAGGCCCTCTGTGGCGAGACCGGTTTTTGCTGTGGTTTTTG